TTTAATAATAATATATTTAATTTTTTAAAAAGTATTACATTACCAGTAAAAATTATATTACTTTCTTCCTCCATTTTTTACAGTATTGGTTAAGTTATTACATTTTCAATCAGATTCTTTTTTTTTATTTTTTTTTTATTTTTTAATTTACATTTTATTTTATTGTTTACTGTCCTCACCGTCACGCGTTTGTCAAATTTATTTTTTTTTTATTTTTTTTTTATTTTTTAATTTACATTTTATTTTATTGTTTACTGTCCTCACCGTCACGCGTTTGTCAAATTTATTTCCTTCACTTGTGACTGTTTAATCCTCTTAGTTCTGTTTTTCATCCCTCTCCTCCTCCCCCTCTTCTTCTTCTTCTTCTTGCTCTCCTCACTCAAATCTCTTTTTCCTCCTTTTCTTCTGTTTTTACTTACTAAGAGGACTTTTCTACCAAAGATTTTTCAAATCAAATCAGAAAAACTGATCTGACTCTGTCAACTGAAAGACATCACTACATGACACAGTCGCCTGTAACTGTCAGAGTTTGGACCCAAGTGCAGAACTGACTGATGAAAATGCAGGCAGGAAAAGTGCAATGATTTATTCTCAAAGATGGTAACAACCTGAAAGGGTCCAGATGAATGCAGACGACAGGTAGAGGTAAACCCAAAATGCATCCAGAGCAAAGGGGAAACTAAACACCAGGGGAAAAAGACACCACAAGAAAGACACAGTTCAAACACAGGTGAGGTGACGGCAGCACTAGTGAGGGACAGGTGAAGCTCATCAGGGCGGGGCAGGCAATCAAGAGTGGAGGGGAAACACACAGAGACAGGAAGTGAAAGCAGACATGACAAACAAGGAGAATATAACAAAATAAAACACCTTTATCTACTCTCTCTCTCTCTCCGCAGGTGTGTGTGAGCCCATGTGCATGAACGGCGGCAGGTGCGTCGGCCCAGACGTTTGCGACTGCCCGTCAGGTTGGCGAGGAAAGAGATGTGATAAACGTAAGTGCCGCGATACAAGAATCAGATCCGTACGGTGCGGGTCCCATGATGCATCAGCTGTTGGTGTACCTAATAAAGTGGCTGTTGAGTGTACAGTGAAATAAAACGGAGAAAAACAGCAAATCTTCACATTTTGAGAAGCTGGAATTAAAGAATGTTTGGCATGTTGTTTGATAACTGCCTCAAGAGTGCGCCATCTTACTCTTAAGCTCACCATGCAGCAGCAGGGACGATGAGAACATGTGAACGCTCTCTGCTGACAGATGCTTCCCACAGAGACGCCTCCCATATGGAAACCATCAGCTCTGATGTCTGCAGTGCTTTATGGGGCTGATGTTCAGACTCCTCAGTGCTGAAGTAACGGCTACCTAAAAGACGAACATCAGTGAAGAGAGGATTAACCACAGATAAGAATGATCTGTTGAAGCTTTTACTTTTAGGGGAGAAGTCTGTGTTAGCCCCGCCCTCCTCCTTCATCATCACATGACACCTTAACGCCTGTCAATCACGTGCACGGCCTGTTATCTATCAGGAGGCGTCTGTTAAGTCTCAGGTTTGATCTTCATTGCAACATTTGGTTTCACTCTTCTTGATTCCTTTCCTCGCCTCCTCTCCTCACGTCTTAGCCCCTCCCACCTGGTGAGGTTTGACATTTTGGATATAAAATGTCATCACTTCATTATTTTATCCTGTTCGACATTTGTGTGAAGTTTCGTCATAATTACCATATGCATTCTTGAGTTATGGCCAAAAATATGTTTGTCAAGGTCACACTGACCTTGAGCTTTGAGCACCAAAATCTAATCAGTTCATCCTCGAGTCCAGGGGAACGTTTGTGCCAAATTTAAAGAAAGTCCCTCACAGTGTACTTGAGATAGCGCGTTCACAAGATGCGAGGTTACACTGACCTTGAGCTTTGAGCACCAAAATCTAATCAGTTCATCCTCAAGTCCAGGGGAACGTTTGTGCCAAATTTGCAAAAAAAATCCCTGAATACATTCTTGAGATATAACATTCACAAGAATGAGATGAATGAGGTCACACTGACTTTGACCTTTGTTTCATGACTCTCAAAATCTAATCAGTTCATCCTCAAGTCCAGGGGAACGTTTGTGCCAAATTTGCAAAAAAAATCCCTGAATACATTCTTGAGATATAACATTCACAAGAATGAGATGAATGAGGTCACACTGAGTTTGACCTTTGACCCATGACTCCCAAAATCTAACAGTTCATCCTTGAGGCCAAGTGGACGTTTGTGCCAAATTTAAACAAATTCCCTCACAGTGTACTTGAGGTAGCGTGTTCACGAGAATGAGACCGATGCAAGGCTACACTGACCTTGACCTTTGAGCACCAAAATCTAATTGGTTCATCCTTGTGACGTTTGTGCCAAATTTGAAAAAAAAAAAAAAAATCTCTGAAGGCATTCTTGAGATACCACATTCACAAGAGTACTAATGAGGTCACACTGACCTTGACCTTTAGGCCATGACCAGACCAAAATCGAATCAGTTCATCCTCAAGTCCTGGGGAACGTTTGTGCCAAATTTGAAAAAAAAAAAAAATCTCTGAATACATTCTTGAGATATAACATTTACAAGAATGAGACGAATGAGGTCACACTGACTTTGACCTTTGACCCATGACCCCCAAAATCTAATCAGTTCATCCTCAAGTCCAGGGGAACGTTTGTGCCAAATTTAAAGACATACTGCGTTCACGAGAATGTAACAGATGGACGGACAACCTGAAAACATAATGCCTTTGACCATGGCATAACAATAGTTGTTTCGTTCTCAATTACCATTACATCGACAACTACGAGTCTTCGTGTTTGATGACAGAATCCACTTCCTGTCCTGATATAAACTCCTTACAAGTGACCTTGACCTTTGACCTATGACCACCAAAACTAATCAGTTCATTGCCAGTCCAAGTGGAACATTTGTGCCAAATTTGAAGAAATTCATTCAAGCTGTTCTTGAGATGTTTTTTTATTTGAGTATGAGATGGATGCAAGGTCACAGTGACCTTGACTTTTGACCACCAAAAACTGATCCATTCATTGCTAGTCCAAGTGGGCAGTTGTGCCGAACTTGATTAAATTCATTCAAGCTGTTCTTGAGATGTTTTTTTATTTGAGTATGAGATGGATGCAAGGTCACAGTGACCTTGACCTTTGACCCTTGGCCACGAAAACCTACTCAGTACATCTTTGAGAATACAACTGGATAAATGAGACTTAAATTACAATGCACGAGTTGTGTGTAAGTTTGTAAACGGATATTTTGATACAGTTTCGCTGTCATTTTCGCAGGGAGAGAATTTGATATACAAGTGGTCGTTTGGGGGGTGAAGTGTTCCTTTAAGCACTTATATAAAGTCTTGTGTCGCCTCTCAGCCAGCTGTCTGCAGAAGTGTCTGAACGGCGGGGAGTGTGTTGGACCCAACACCTGCCACTGCGCCCCGGGCTGGCAAGGCATGCTGTGTCAGATCCGTGAGTATCCCACCAAAATGTGTCCTCAGAATAACAGCAAAACTGGGTCCTGATTGGCTGATTGTTTCTGTGTCACTCCTCAGCTCACTGTGAACAGAAGTGTCTTTACGGCAGTCGATGTGAGCGACCGAACGTCTGCGCCTGCCGCAGCGGATACTCCGGTTCTCTTTGCTCCAGAAGGGTAAGTTGGACTAAACATGGAGTGTTATTTTGACGTAAGAAGGGAGCCCTACTTTAATCACTTAAACTCAAATGAGACTCCTTTCCTGGCTTGTTAAGTCTTCTATTCAGGTTTTCAGGAGAGAAAGCAGAAACATTTCAGTGCTACATTTTCCCCAGCAGGTCTGAGACTTTCACACGAGTCAGAAACACATGAAGAAAACTGGAAACACGTGAAAATGCGTCCAGTCTCATGAGCTGACCGGTGACAGATGATGAGGCCCAGTGAAGAAAAGACTGTGGATGGACAGTCTGTGGATGCTGCAGTGATCAAAGCAAACTGTAGCGCTGTCTTTTGGTTTTATCTTTTCAGTGTGCAGAACTCCAGCTGTTTGATTAGAGCCAGTTCTGTTTTGGTTTTCAGCTGGAGCAGAAATAAAAGTGTTACTGAAAACAAAACTGATGCAGTTCTGTAATATCCAGGCTTCTGATGCGTTATTAAAGTTAAAGATGGAAATCTGGAGAAAGGTACTGGAGCCAGGCAGATCTGAGAATCTGACAGATTTACAGGTGAAGTCAGGAACATGTGGGGAAAAAGAAAAAGTTTAAGGTCAAGTTATAAAGTTTTACACTCGCGTCACAGCGGGAACCGTATGACGTCGGTTTTGCCGAGGTCACACCACCGTAGCTTTGGCCCTAATTTGTGGACCCGCCGACAAAGGCTGCAGATGAGAAGTAAACTGGCTTGGTGCTCACAAATCAGCACACGATTTACGACTTTATAATCTCATTCAAGGTTTTTTCATAAATTTGTGAGTTTTTTTCTCATAAACTTGCAACTTTATAATCTCAGACAATATCTTGAGTTTTTTCCTGTAAATTTACGACTTAAAGTTTTTTTCCCGTAAATTTCTGAGTTTTTTCTTGTAATTTTACAACTTTATAATCTCAGAGAATATTCAAGATTTTCTGCGGGTTTTTTTCTCGTACATTTTTAACTATATGGTCTAAGAGAATATTCAAGGTATTTTTTTGTAAATTTGTTAGTTTTTTTCCTCGTAAATTTCCGACTTTATAATCTCAGAGAATATTAAAAGGCTTTTTGTCATAAATTTCTGAGTTTTATTCCTGTAAATTTATGTTTGTAAATTAGTAAATTTCGTAAATTTCTGAGTTTTTTCACATAATTTTAC